AGGGTAGAGAGAATAGTGCAACAATGAATGAATGGGAACCCAAAATCTCTGTAAATGTTTATGAAAATTAATAAAATATAGAAAAAAAAGAAATAATCATGAAATATTTTATTGTTTTTAAAAAGGAAAGTTTTTCCTCTTTACTCACTGCCATTTTTTTCTTTTTTACCTTGTTTTCTGATCCATTCTTGCCGCTGGAATTCAGCTTCTTTTTGGAGCTTTTTATAAACTAGGAATTGGAAACAAAGAAGAGCGGAGCAGAATAAATGTACATGCCAGACACTCCGCTAAGCAATTTATATTCATTATTAGAACACTTTCATACTGTAAAGGCTTCACGAGTCTTCAGCTTTGATAGATGGAGAAGCAGACTTAAAAAGGCTAAGTAACTTGTCCAAGGTCAAAAAGAGAGGATATTTTGAAACAGATTGGATGTTGCAAGTATAGAGATTGATTAGTCTCTATAGTACTCTGCTGGATGCCATATCTTCAATTTTGGTGGTTTTCACAGTGGTTTGTGTAGTATATGATTAACAGATTTGGCATATATTACTTTTGCATTTTTTCTTTTTCAATTTAAACGCTTTAGGTGCTAATTATAAAACAGTATCACAGCTTATTTTGGAAACACATATACAGTCTTGACCATAATTCCAACATTCTTCACCAGAGGATTTAAGTAATAAATGTAGCTTTTTATATATGTGATCTTTTAAATGACATCTTTCCTGTTGGCCAGGGAAAAATTTGATGGCCTTTTAAATTAACTTTAGATTCTTCAATTGTATGGCAAGTGGAAGCTTAAAAATGTTTTGCGAATACGGGAATTCAGTTAAGGAGTGACTTCAGGTCCCTTAAAGCACCCACATTGTGCCATGGAGTGTATCTTTTAAATGGTCTTCCACCTGATGTTCCACAGTGTTCTTACCATCTCCAATGAGAACAAGAGTAGAATGGCCAGTTGCTTTGCCATCTTGAAGCTGGAAAGTATATGTTCCCTCATCCTCATCCTGTAGCTTCTCCATGAACATTTCAATTATACCAGTGTTTCGGTCAATATGCATTTTATATTTCTTCAATATAAAAAGAAACAGAAATTAGCAAAATATAGGCTCTACTTTGATTATATATAATCCTAGTAAAAGAAAAATGAAAAATAAAGAATTATAAATTTAGCATACTTATTATAGGCTAGTTTTAAAAGATTAAAACTTTAAAACCTTTTTCCCCCAAGGAAAAAGAAAATATTATATGGAATATAGGACCAACAATGCAGAAGAGGGGGCTACATGATGATGAGAATTAATTAATTCCTAGGAGATCTGAAATGTAACCTCTTAAATAGAATGTTATGTTAGGGCAAGGCATAAAAATGTTGTCAAAAGTTATTTTTAGATTATCATTTATTTTCCAGATTGTGTTATTTTTAATTTGCAGAATAATGTAAAACTACGGGCAGCATAAGGGAGCACTGGTGGCTTAGTGATAAGGTGTTACAATGCCAACCCAAAGGCTGGTGGTTCGAATTCATCAGCTTCTCCTAGGGGAAAAAAATGAAAAATTTCCTCCCAGGTGAGTCACAGCCTCAGAAACATCTTGGAGGGTTTTTGTGAGTTGGTTCTGAGTCAGTGGCAATGAGATAGGGATCATTACTTGGAAAAGTAGTCACAAAAAGAGAGGGAGACCTTCGATGAGATGGATCGACACAATGATAGCTATAGCGTGCTGAAGCATGCCAGAGACGTGAGGATGAAGCAGGAGAAGGTACAGTTATAGTCTATTGCTCATAGGGTCTCCGTGATTCATTGTCCACTCCATATTTAACTACAACAATAGGCAGCATTTGGGAAGTGTTGCCTGTAGTCTCATGCCATTTGCTTTTATGTCCCCAGTGGCATGTAGTAGGCAATTAGTAAATGTCTGCTAAATTAATGTGTGAATAAAAGACACTTTTAAAACATTTAAAACCCATTTGATTTTAACAAATTAAAATTGCTCTATTAGATGGTATTTATTCTGCTACATTACTTGAACAATCTCCCCCCAGAGGACAAAGTTAACTATAATTTCTATGCAAACAAGCTTAAGTCCCACAACAGTTTGAATTAATGAGATTTTGATATAAAACATAGAATGAACACTCAAATCTGGGCCCAAGACTGTGGTGTCTTCTTCAGAGCTTCCCCTGCTGAAAGCCAGTCTCCAGATGAGACACACAGCACATTGGACTCACTACCATCCTGTTAGCCATACTCTTTGTAACGCGCAACAAATGACTGGGTGGGGTTGTTGTAGCCAATCAGTGGGATTTGACAGCTTGTTGGTAATGTAAATGAGGGATATGACATTGTTAGGAGGTAGAGAGCTGTCAAATGATTTAGGGCAGAAGTACAGGGATAGAGAGTCAAAGGTAAAGTTAAAATCATTAAGTGGCTTACAGTTTCTGCTGAAACGTTGCCAAGCAAGCAACTGAAGCACAGCCTGAGCCCATATAAGGACTAGAGCCAAAGGCTAATTAATACTTACCTACTCGCAGCCAAGAGACTGTCTAGTGTTACCATATAAGGAAGACACTAATGCCTCAGTAAGTTGACTGGGGCAGTGAGGAGCATCCCCAAAACAATCTAATTAGCATTTTAGGCAGATAAGAATCAGCGATGACAAGAAAGATGAACCAGAGTCAGAACCTTGAGCCAATCATTCTATTGGCCAAAATCACCACTCACCTGCCCTGCAGAAAGCCTGCCCCAGGAGGAGGGAGACTGACTATTTAAGCACCTAGCCCCTCAGTGGACTGCCTAAAGAACATATGGATATGTCTTGGGAAAAGTAAAAGTAGGGAGCTCCTTTGAGGCAAGTATGATGAAGCTTTGTCTCACATGCTTTGGGCATGTTGCTAGGAGAGGCTATTAATTGGAGAGGGGCAGGGTTGATGAAGTAGTGGAAGATCTTCGACTAAATGGATTGACAAAGTGGTTGCAGCAATGGGCGCAAGTGTGCCAGAGATTATGAGAATAGCAAAGGATTGAACGGGCTTCAAGTCTGTTGTTCATATGGCTGCCA